CTACAGTCCCCAGTAACAGATCACAAAAGGGCTGGAGTTCATACTTTCCATGGAGGAACACCCAGTTCAATTCCCAACTCTACATGGTCCCCTGAGCACCACCAGGACTGATGTTCAAGCATTGACAGGAGATATTACCCCCGAAAAAAAAATGTTTTCATGTACATTCTTGTATATGCTCCCTCCGTCCGACTACTGAGTTGTTCCTTTTCAGGATACCCAGGAATATGTCCAGAAATGGATTCCCATGGTCAAATGGCATAAACATCACTTCAGTAGATACTGAAAAACTGTTTTACAAGCTGTTAGGAATGGGCCCAGAGAAGCCCGTGAGCACTGCAGAGTATAGCCCAAAAACCATGACCCTGGCTCGAATTTCAGTACTACCGATGGTCCCTCAAACACTGCCAGATGTGACCCTTGAGCACAGAGCAAGTATGGTATCTGAGCACCACCAGGAGTGGCCAAATAAAAAGGAGAAAAGGCTCTCTATTCCAAAAAGTTTAATGTTAGCTTAGGTCTCTAAACTCAGCAGATCTCATTTTCTATACTTTTGTACAGACCTGGGTCACTCAACTCTTAGCTGTTCATACTTCCTCATATTTTGCTTAATAACTTTCCAGGAGCCTTGTGAGTGTTTAGAAAAACAAATATGCCTTCAAACTCCACCCACACATACATAACACCATGCACTCTTTCCCATGACTCCTCGCCTCCAGAAACCATTCAGAGATCACATTTTGTTTGTTTAGTTTTGGGCTGGGGGGAGGATGTGCACTAAGCAGTCCTCAGAGGCTACTCCCAACTCAGTGCTTGGGAAGGATTCCTGGTAGTGCTCAGGGGACCACTGGACTGCCGGGGATTAAACCTGATCCAACACATGCACTCCAGCCCTCTGAGCTAATTAAATGCCCCCTGACCCTCCCCCACCCCGTACATTTTAAAATGTTAGAAATACGAAATTTTATTAACTTATCTCTGAAAGATGTGTGGCTGAACTACAATGTAGTCCTGAACTACACTGACAAGTCACCAGGCTATTTATTTATTCACTTATTTTCTGACTTTTGGGGCCACACTCAATGATGCTCAGGGGTTACTCCTGGCTCCTCATTCAGGAATTACTCCTGGCAGTATTCAGGAGACCATATCGGATGCTAGGGATCGAACCCAGGTCAGCCACATGCAAGGCAAACGTCCTACCTGCTGTACTATCACTCCTGTCCAATCACCAGGCTATTTAAAAGGCAACTCCCAAAGAGTAATTCCAACCATTTCACACAACAGTGGCACTCTCTGTCTAAGTATTTAATCCCTACCCAAAGGAATTAATTAAAAAAAAAAACTATCACTGGGATAAAATGATTTTGAAATTCGTTTCATAAATCTTCCTTTTTAAAAACAAAAACACATTTATTCAAACCAAAACTTTTTAGGCGTTACATAACATTGTAAACTGTAGCGACATATTCCCTTCACTACATTAAGAGAAAGGGAGAAAGTTATTTCTAGCATTTCTAATGGGCTCATCAGTAAGAGAGAGAGCTTGAGCAGTAAACAGCAAAAGCGACCTTGGATTAGAAAAAGGGCAATATCCAGTTAAGCTCCTTAAGTTTCAGACTGATAATCGATAACCTTGGCCTGCAGTAGGCTCTCTCCTTCCAGACTCAAGTGTAAGGTCACCTATAAGGTCTACCACATACCACAGCAAAAAATTAAAATAAAATAAAATTTAAAAAATTCTTATTTCATAATAGTTCCCATCTCCCCGACTACTGAGCAATTTCTGAATTCTTCCTCACTGTGCTTTATGAGCAATATCACATTTAATCTTATAATAATGCTATAAATTGGTTGGTATTACCAGATGGGAAAATGAATCATGTAGCTAAGTAACTTGCCTAGTTACCAGATTTTAACTCATGCGTTTGACTTCATGCACTAAACTACTGCCATAAATCTGCATTTAATGCATCTGAACTCTCCTTGATACACCATGTATGCTCATGGACTCTGCAAAAGCCACTTTTCAAACAATTCAACAAGGTGCAGACATTTCAGAAACCATAGTATTCCTCTCAGCAGTGATGCTGATATTGAGTGCTAGGTACTCTGACTAAAAAATACAGTATTATTACTGCTTCTAACTGCAATTTAAAGCAATTTCTATTTGCTTTAATAGGAGCAAATTCTAAGCTCCTATTAGATTGCCCATAAGGAAAGGTACTTTGTCTTGCTCTTCCCCGTTAGAGGAATCCTCTATAATTCCCTGTGCAACTGTATAAATAATATATGGGATCCAGAAGATAGTACAGTGAGGAAGCGCTTGCCTTACCCAGGTGGGGTTTGATCCTCGGCACCACATGTGGTCCCCTGTGCTTTGCCAGGAATGATCCCACAGAATGGAGCCCAGAGTAAGCCACAAGTACCACCAGATGTGGTCTCCAAACAATAAAAGAAAGGATTTTAATGGGGACATCCACCCACCAAATCTAAGAAACAAACACAAAAATTCTTTGTAAATGTATAAAACAATGCTAGGTGTATTTAACTGGTTTCCAAATAGAAAGCTGTCTTCAAGGGGTCCTGAATTAGAGTGCTGGGCAGGGTTGAAGTGCTTGCTTTGCACGCAGCAAATCCCAGTTCGATCCTCTGGTACAGCATATGGCCCCCACACACTGGCAGGCGTGATCCCTGAGCTCAGAGCATCTGAGTAAACCTGAACACTGCTAAACCACCCCCCCCCCACACACACACACACGCACGCACACATACACAGAGTTGTCTTTATACCATTTTGGGGGGTGATGGGGGGAGATAAAAATAGTGCTTAGGGGTCCCAGTGCCATTCCTGGCAATACTTGGGTATACTTCCTGTTTGCTCATTTGTTTGGGGGTTACTAGAGTCCTTGAAGGCTACTCCTGGCTCTACGTTTGGGGGGTCATGCCTGGCAGTGCTGGGGGACCTTGGGACTCTGAGATTCAAACAGGGTTGGCTGCATATAAGGCAAGCACCTTAACCCTGTACTGTCTACTTGGTCCTCAGAGGTTTGTTTTTTGAGGGGGGCAGGGAGCATACCCTACATTGCTGATGGCTGCTCACTTATGGTGGTGCTCTAGGGACCACGTAGTAACAGGGATTGAACCGGATTAGCTGAATGTAAGGCAAGTGTGTTAACCTTTGTACATTGTCTCCAGCCCTCTGGAAACACTTGGACAGACCTGAAGATTCAGTGCCTGGATCTGGCAAATACTCTGCTCTGGCCCTGTGATACTGGGGCCCACAATGCACAAAACCACATCAAGGAGTAGTGCCAGGGGCCGCCAAGGTGACCAGACAGTACTGGGGCTGGAGGTGAAGGCCTCCACAAGTAAAGCCTCCCAGGCCTCTGCGTTACCTCCCTTGCCCTGTCTGGAATCTTAAGAAAAGTCCACCAAAGGTCTGGAGAGATGGTACACAGGGCTGAGCACATGCTTTGTATATCGGAGGCCTGGATTTGATCCCTGGCACCACGCAGTCCCCAAGCAATACTTCTGTACTGTTCAAATATTTAATATCCATTTTTCATTAAAAAGTATGCGATTGGGCTGGTGAGAAAGTACAGCGGGTAGGGCGTTTGCCTTGTACGCAGCTGACCCGGGTTCGATTCCCAGCATCCCATATGGTCCCCCGAGCACTGCCAGGAGTAATTCCTGAGTGCAGAGCCAGGAGTAACCCCTGTGCACCGCCGGGTGTGACCCAAAAAGAAAAAAAGAAAAAAATGCATGCGATTAACCATAATGCACAAAAGAGACAGAGAAGAAAACTGGAGGTGAGGGGGGAGGGCGGTTGGGGGATGGTGGGAGGGAAATGGGGACATTGGTCACTGGTGCCGGGAAATGTACACCGGTGGAGGAATGGGTGCTGGATCACTGTGTGACTGAAACCCAGTCATGCACAGCTTCGTAAGGATCTATCTCACAGATGAATAAATTAAAAAGCATGCAATTTTAAAATCAGAGCTCTCCACTGACTCTCTTTCCCCTCTCAGTTTCGCTTCTCCTCTCCTTCTGGGACAGCGCTGCTCTCTGAGCACAGGGACTGGAGTTTCTGCGCTGTCTGCCCTGCCGTGGAGCTATTGCTAGGATGTACACACCCAACCCGGAGGAGGAGGGGGGAGCTGGTGGGAGCAGAAGATTCAACAAGTCTTGAAATGGGCTCTAAAAATAGCATTTCCATTTGGAAGGTAGAGTTCAGAATAAAAGGCTCTATTATCTCCTCCCTTTGAAATGCTGGTTAAGATCTATTCCCAACTCCTTTTTGCTCCTTAAACAATTAGACCCTAATCTGAATCGGACGGCCAGCGAAACCCTGAAGAGAATTAGGTAACTGTTTAGGGTCACTGTTGCTACAATGTGGAAAATATTCTCCTGAGTATTAAGTATAAAGCCCAATACCAAGAGCGACTCCCGTTTGACATCCTTAACCACTTTTTTTTTGGGGGGGGGGCTACACCTGGCAGTGCTCAGGGCTGACTCTCGACTTTGTGCTCAGGGATCACTCCTGACTGGGTGACTGGGACTTAGTGGACTTGAGACTCGATGCAGAGCCAGGGACAGAACCTGGGGCAGCCGAGGGCAAGGCAAGCATTTTCCTCCCCGTAAAATCTCTCTCTGGCACCCAACCACTTTATTCCTAATGTCTGAAAATTCTGAAAACAAGCTCTCTATTTTGTTTTCGAGCAAGCTTGCTTCATGCTGGGTCACTTGTCTCTCTCAATGGCCTATAACCTTCTCCATGAAGCCCACACACCTAAGCTTCAGCTTCATGTGTCAAAACACAGGTGTTTACACAGGGACCAGGCCCTTAATATAAGTGTCGGAACACGGTTAAAAAATGACAGGGTAAACAGAAAACAGGAGTTTTGAAACTTTCCAGTTGAACAGTAAAATGTAATACTGTGCAAAGAGGCCATGGGTTTAAATGAGGTCAAGGAGCATGAGAGCCGCTTTAGACAAACCTGTCCCAAATTTGCTGAATGGGTGTTTGGGATTTCCCGTCGCTTTTTCCAACTGGAAGAGTCTCCAGGCATCATTCATCACATTCTTCTCGTGTTCGGAATCAACTGCATTCACCTCTCGGTCTTTGCAACTCTCATCAAACAAGGGACACAGGAAAAACTGTGCAAACCTACGAGTATAAAACACGACAATTTGAAAGACTGTCAACAGAGAGGAAATCTAAATTCTACAGAATCAGGAAGCATTACTATGGCTACTAAGAAAAAAACAAATAGAGGGCAGGGAGATGGTTCAAAGGATCAGAGGGTATGTTTGACGTGTGAGAGCCTGTGTTTGGTCACTGGCACCATCTGGTCCCCCAAGCATGAGTGGAAGGGAAGCTCAGGCACTGAGCCAGGAGTAGCCCTTAGCATCGCTGGATATGATGCAAAATACATGGAAAAGAGAGGACAAGGAGAAAGAGAAAAAAGGAAGAGAGAAAGGAAAAGGAAAAGAGGTACTTTCCCTGCTGCCACCAAGTTTCACAGAGGTGGAGGCTGGGGGGAGGGGAGAGGTGGCCAAGACACACATTGCCAAGGCAGAGGCTGTGCTACTGAGACCCTCAACGCTACCTTCCAAGAGGTGTGGGGACCACCCGCAGTCACCATGTCCTGGCATGTGCAATTCGTGAAGCGGCACCAAGGCCATCTTTGTGTACCTGCATCCAACTGGATGGGTCTGTGCATGTCAGGTTGGTGGAGGTGCTCTATGCTGGGCCCCAAATCAACCTAATTAAGGAGCATGACAACAAGAACCTAGGGGAATGGCGAGGCCTCAGTAAAACTGACGGAGAAGGGAAGGGAAAGCCCGCAGAGCACTGGGCTGCACTTGTGTAGTTAAGGATATGCCGAAGAGCTGCAGGCTAAGGGTGGTGCCGAGGAATCCTTCAAAAGCAGAAGATAATAAATTTGGAGGTCAGAAGAAAAACAAGCTAGGGCCAGAGTGTTAACACAGCGGGGAAGGGCGTTTGCCTTCTATGAAGCTGACCAGGTTCAATCCCCAGCATCCCCCAGCCTGCCAGGTTGATTCCTGAGCACAGAGCCGGGAGTAAGTCATGAGCATCAATGCCTGGCATGGCCAAACAAACAAAAAAAGGAAAAATATGAAGTAGATTGTAAGAGAGAAGAAAAACTATAATATTGGACATATGTAAATTCAGATGTTGACCAAACCATGATGTTGAATTAGTGAAAATACAAAAACAGATTACCACCTCTAACTCTGACACACTATTCCCCATTTTCCCTGCCCCACCCAGCAGTTCTGCTACACACACACAGATGTCCTCGGATTTACCTCCATCCAGCTGGTCCCAGCCCACAGAAGATTTAGTTCTTCCAGACTTTCAGCCCTCTCTCTACTTCCCTAGGCTAACCACAGACCCGGGCGATCATCTGTCTCCAAGTCAAAGCTTAGAGGGTCCCACACTCTCCTCCTTAAGTACGATGAAATTCCCTAAAGTAGCTGACAGGATTCCGGGAAACACTGTGCTTACTAGATTATTCGTTTACCGTCACCTGAAAGTGACACCCGGGGCAAACAATGGGAGAGAAGGTCAGAGCCCCCATGCTGATGCCTGCAAGGAAGACACTCGCTCTTGAGTCCTCCTGGGCATTTGGGAGGTATTTGTGCATTACATACACACAACAGGTCAATCCACTGGCTACTGGTGACTGAGTCCTTCTCCCCTCCTTGAAGGTGTGGACAGTTCCAACCCTGTAATCATAAAGCTGGATTTTCTTCCACTTCCATTCTCTAACCATCTTGGGGACTAACTCAGTGACATCCTCAAGGTCACACCCTGAAAAAACAAAACACGCCTCTGGTAGGTTTTCATTATTTAGGAAGTAAATCACCAGGGTTTCAGGAGCTATGGGGCAGGGTCAGGATTAAGACCAAATACACACTGATTAGAAATAATCACAGCACACACCAAAAAGTCAAGGCAGATTTAAAGTGGCAGCAGTTATGTAAGAGTTATTGTCATTTAGAGGCCAGGGAGATGGCTCAATGGCCTGGAGCCCACGCTTTGCATGCTGGCGGCCCGGATTCAATCCTCATACCAGATGGTCCCTTTACAGTTTGCAGACGCCATTTCATTAAGATTCAGGTTTTGTTGGGGGGCGGGGGGAACACGGACACCAAGAGTAGTACAAGAGTAGTAGAAGAGTACTACAAGAGTACAGAAGCTACTCTTAATTCTGAGCTCAGGAGTCACTCCTGGTGGCACTCAGAGGACTACACCATAGCCAGGGATGTGACCACAGGCAGCATCATACGAAGCAAGTAGCTTAACCCCTGTAACATCCCTCCAGTCCACTCCTCAAACATTTTAATAAAAGTACTTTCAAAAGGTTCTATTTAGATATGGATTTTTTTTCTTATATTAAAAAACAAACTTTCTTTTCTCAAGACTATTTTCCCTTATAGCAACAGTACAATTTGAAGATGCCTTGTTTGTTTTGTTTGGGGCCACACCCGGCATTGCTCAGGGCTTTCTCCTCAATCTGTGCTCAGGGATCACTCCAAGTGGGGCTGCAAGTTCCAGACTGAACTCCAGTCACACGCAAGGTGGGCACCTGACCCGCTGTGCTCTCTCTCCAGCCCTCCTTCCTACTTCTGTAATTCTTTTAAAGAAATTCTAGACCCCATCTTATAAAAGCAAGAGCGAAAAAGTCAGATGGAACCAAGGATAAAGGTTCTGTCTAGTAGAACTACTAATCAGTCCAAGAAACTTCAGTCTATAAACAGCTCAGCACTGCATCTCACAGACCAGCTGTCCAAGAGGACAGATCCATCATTACGTGATATTCTAACTTGATATTTATTTTAAGCACACCAGGCATATCATATTGCGATAAGTACTTTACTCATGCCAATACACAGGCAAACTCCATGTATCTAGAGTCCATAATCAAACAAATTAAACAAAAGGTATTTTGGACACACAACCTCAAGTACCTAATAGTCCAGAGTCATGATTATGCCCCAAGCAATTCTGACACAATCAATAACAGTTTTTAAAGATATGTTCATATTTACATTCCCCCCATCATATAGAAACTGGTATACGAACAGCTGCTATAGAATTTGTAAAGCAGAAAATTAAATTCAGTGTATGATCCCTAAACCCCCCAGGGAATTCATTAACAGCAGGCTTCCAGGAATATAGGGTTTGGGGTTTGGGATGGAGATCTGCTGGTAGGAAGGTATAATGGTGGTGGGATTGGTGTTCAAATATCAAATGTAATCAAAGATTATGAACAATTTAAAAAAAAAAAAAAGATGATTACACCTCAAAGTTGCTGCCTAAATGACTGAAACATAAGCTAGCATAAACAAAGGACTACTATGACCCAGTCTTGTATTCTGGACCTATGGCACTACTGCCCTGTTAATATTTTTTGGTGCTCAAGAATTAATTTAAATTGTTTAAAAATAAATAAATATCTAGGGGCTAGAGAGATGGTACAGCAGGTAAGGCACTTGCCTTGCACACAACGAACCCGGGTTGGATCCCTGGCATCCCATATGGTCACTCAGTGCCCAGTCAGGAATTATCCCTAAACACCAATGGGTGTGGCCCAAATACCCCACCTCCCCAAAAACCTAATCATCGGAGTTGACACAGCAGATCAAAACATCTGAATCTGATGAGTATCCTTGCGAACAGAGGAAAAGAACACCCAACACCTAGCATCCTCAAACAGGAGAGGGGACCCATGACACTGCTGCTGTTTATGTCACCACATGCTTTGCATGTCACTCCAGTTAGAACTGGGAAGGGCTACTGAGCACTTTATAAGTCAATAAAATATTCTGTAGGCCTGAAGGCTAGTTTAGAGTCATACCATTCTTTCTTTATCATGATGAATATATATATATGACATCTCTCACCTTTTTTATAAAACACAGGGAGAAAGGGGCTAGTTAAAAGACCTTCGTTAAGATATAATGCTATGAGCTGAAAGTAGACTGTAGACCGAACATGATCTCCACTCAATTCCTCTTTTGCAAACCACAGCACCCAAAAGGAGAGAGGACAAAAGGGAATGCCCTGCCACAGAGGCAGGGTGGGATGGGGGGTGGGAAGGATACTGGGATCCGTGGTGGTGGGAAATGGGCACTGGTGGAGGGATGGGTACTCGAACATTGTCTAATTGAAACCCAAGCACAAAAATTTGTAAGTCTACAACTGTACCTCATGATGTTTCACTAATAAAAATTTTTTAAAAATAATGCTATGAAGACATCTTTTTAAAAATAATAATTATGTGGTAAGTACACACAGCTGGCTAATTTGTTGGGTGAATTCAGCATTACCTGTCTAGGGCACCTTCCAAGTGTTCGTGGGAAACGTCGAAGTAGTAGTTGGTATGCTCTCCACTCGTGAAGGCGTTCGAACTTCCTGCATGCTCACTGAGAAACTGGCTGTATTCATTTTCTTTAGGGTATTTTTTTGTTCCCAAAAACAGCATATGTTCACAAAAATGACTTAAGCCAGCAATATTTGGAGGATCTGACAATGAACCTGAAAAAGAAAAATACATATAATTTTTTATACTAAAAGCTATCAAGCACAAAAGTTACAGATGATCTGTAACTTCTGATTTCTGTCAACAAGACAAATTCAACTATCCAATCAGAGAAAGTCTGAAATAGGCCTCTCTGAAGCAGTTCAGACTCTAGTCTCAGTGCTTTAGACATTAATTAGGTGGTGACCTTGGGCGGATTACTTAACCTCTCTCAACAGGAATTTCGAGTTGAACCCACTCTTTTATAAGAGCTAGCAATTTCTAGTTCTTACATTTTATTGTAAGAGTTTACTAAAGCACAGTGCTTAGAACCTAGGCTTGGAGGTTAGTAACTCTAGCAGCTATGAAACTCAATATAAACCTGATTTCTCTTACTTCAGTCACTTTTTATATGTTACCAAACTCACATAGTTGTGTACATATAAGTTAAAAACTCTAAACTCACTGTATTATGTGGCATGTGTTCAACATGTGATGATTGCGAATTCCTTCAATTCTCAATCATTTTGCTAAGAGCTTCTCAGAGAGAGGGAAAAATGAACTTCACTAACACGTATAAGTAGAAAAGAAGCAAATCAGAGCTGGAGATATTGCACCGCAGGGAGGATGCTTGCGGTGCCAAGGCTAACCCGGGTTCGATCCTTGGCACCACACATGGTTCCCCAAGTCCACAAGAAGTCCTGAGCACCACGAGGAATGGCCCAAAAACCAAAACCGAAACAGTAAAGGAGCAAACTTGACTTACTTTTTGGTGTGCAGGCCATACCTAGACACCCACCAGTGTTCAAAGGCTACTTAACCCTCTAAACTATCACTCCAGGTCCCATGAAAGTACCTTTCACTTATTTACTTTTTTTAAAAGCAATGTTGAGACCATGCAGACGGGATGAAACTGTCACTTCATCCCCATTTACAAAGGTCCCACGTCACTCTATCCCATGCGTATAACTGCTCATATCATTGCCAGACGAGAGCAGCAAATCAATGGGAAGAAAGAGGTACCTTTTAAGGCAAGAGTAAGGGTGAAAGAATTATGTACATGAGAATCTAGGATATGAGAGAGAGAAAGCAACTAGGAATATGCTGTTTCTCAGTATACAAAAATATGTTTGCAAAGGAAAACAGTACAGTTGTTTCTAGAAAGGATGGCAGCAAATTTCCTTGCTGTCTGGTCACCTTCTATGGGAGCCTAATAGGATGGCCTTTCTGGTAAATGTATTGACTTTATCACTGTGCACTGTTAGTTGTACAGGACTGCTTACAAAGTAAGGTACATAAAAGTGGTATTTGCTAGGCTTTCGTTTACATCAATATGGAAGAGTTTCTATTAAATGTCAACATTAGACAATGAAACAGAACAACCAAAAATCCCAATTTTCTTTTTTTGATTTTTGGGTCATACCCGGCAATGTTCAGGGGTTACTCCTGGCTCTGCACTCAGGAATTACCCCTGGCAGTGCTCAAGGGACCATATGGGATGCTGGGAATCAAACCTGGGTTGGCCGTGTGCCAGGCAAACTCCCTACCCGCTGTGCTATCGCTCCAGCCCCCAAAATCCCAATTTTCAATCACGGTACCTATGTGTACATCGAGTGCTGCTGATGACTTATCCGTGGTGGGGTCACTGATGAGAAGTACTTTGATACCATTGGCCAGCTCAAGCCCGCGGTACTCTCGCTTGTCTTCAGGAGATTTGATAATGTGATTTCCTAGTTTCTTGATAGCCGGGTTATTCATTTTGCTGTAAGGTTTTTTATTGAAACTAGAGAAGAAAAAAAAATTTTTTTCCCAATTATTGGGCTGTGATTTCTTTTAAAAGGACAACAAATAACGTCAAGCAAACCAATAAAATACATCATCACATAAAAAACAAGAACTGAATCCTGGTTGAGAACCACAACCACCGAGAACAGCCCCGATGTGCATATGGTCAGTACCACAGTGAAAATTAAGTGACCTCCTTCCTGCTTCTGGTGAGCCCCTAAGTCAGATGTGAACCCCCAGAGCAAGCACAATATCCGAGTTATTGTGTATGCTACTTTTAAACACAGCAGCAGCAATAAAGGGAAGGGAAGAGGGAAAAGATCTGAAGAGAACTTTTTATAAAGTTTATCTACCGAGTATTCCTCTTTCCTCCCTCTTAGATCTCATTCTTTATATATATGAAGTCAGTAAAACATAACTGATAAAAATGGAACTTCCTAATCAAGTAATCTTTGTAACCTGGTCAAGATGAATGCCCAAACAGAAACAACTTAGGAACTTAATGGAAATGTTTGTTATTTCTCTAATGGAAATGTTTGTTATTTCTCTTATATAAGGTTTGTTTTGGATTTTGGGTGACATCTAGCAGTGCTCAGGGCTTACTCCTGGCTCTGTGCTCAGGGCTTACTCCTGGCATGCAAGGCAAGCACCTTAACCATTGTACTGTTCTCCCTCTCCCCCCAACCCTCTCTCTCTCTCTCTCTCTCTCTCCACACACACACACACACACACACACACACACACATGCACACACGCACATACACTGTGGGGGGCTTGGGATTGAACCAAAGGCCTCACATATGGGAGGTATGTGTACTGCCACAAGTGACATCCCGAGCCTGAAATACTAACAATACTGATTTTTGAGGAGTCTTATTTGTATCTAGGCTATATTTACCTAGAGATTTGAAACAGAATAGATTAGACCATGAAATGGCCATTCTATTGACCTAGAATATTTTTCAATGACTGATAACTGCTTCTGCACCTATTTCAGAGTTATCTGCTAGAGCGTATGAGGTAAGAGATTACATAAGAATTATTACTGAGTCAGCCAAAACATTGCTCAACCTGAAGACAAAGATGCAGCAGATCTGGAACTCAAACACTAAGAATCCTCATAGGAATAATCCTGTGACCTCCTAAAGCACATTAAGAGACTCGGGCTGTGTGCTATGCTATGAAGACAGCAAAAGGAAAGATACAACAAACAAAACTGGTTATCTTCCTAATTCCAAACAATTTTTGTTACTTGACCAAGTCGAATACTCAAGCAGAAACAACTCAGAAATAAATTCAGTGGAGACGTTTGGTTATTTCTCTTAGAAGGATGGCCCTTCCTCTGGCAGACCTCTCCTATCTTCTCTAGAAAAGCTGGAGATAAAGTGATGAGAAGGACATCATTATCAAACAGACAGGGTCATGAGGAACTGTAAGGCAATATCAGTTCAGTGAAGGGATTTTTCCAGAGTCTTTGGTATGTTACATGTTTTTGACACTAAGCTATTTCTGTCTATGTTGAATATTGCTTAAGAAACAAAACAACTGGAACCAGAGAGATGACTCAAAGGGCCAGAGTGCAAGCTTCCCAGGAGTGATGAGAAAGAGTCTAGCGTTCAAACTCCCCCAAGCCACACAGCACTGTTACTGAGCTACATCCCTAACCATTGAGCTGGGAGTGACCCCCTACCCCTCACACCAAAACTAAGCCAAAAAAAAAAAAACTTGCTATTATAGTAGGACAATATATCAATTAGATGAAAATAAAGACACACCTGAAAAGAAGAAAAATGATCCTGTATTTGCTTATTTGCTTTTCACTTGGAAGACAAAATAAATGGATCTGACTGTTCCTTAAAGACAAACATACAGGGACAGATAGCTAGGTCAGGGAGCTGAACAGATAGTTTGGCATGCCAGAGGCTTCCCAAGCATTGCTGGGTGTGACTCTCCAAACCAAACAAACCAAAACCTCAACCAATATATATCTAAATCTATTCATTTATTTACCTATTTATTACAGAGCCAAAGATGTAACTCAAGGTCTCATACACGCAAAGCACGTGTTCTACTACTGAACTGCATTCCTGGCCCTGTACACCCGTATCTGTAGGTAGATCAGAGGGGACATAAATATACACACAATCGCTCTGCATAAAATATTTTTTGCATGAAAATCTCTGAAGGAAAAATCCACTGAAATCACCTATAACTACTATTCTAACAAGACATCAAAGGGGTAGGACAGCAGGGAAAGCACTTGCCCCGGACATGACTGACCCAGATTCAAACTCTGTTACCACATCTGGTCTCCTAAGCCCTGCAGCACCAGGAGTAAGAGATCCCTGGTGCAGTACCAAAAGTAAGCACAGCTAGGTGTGACCCCAAAAAACAAAAAAATAAAATGTTTTAAATATATTGAAAATATTTAAAATTTTAAAGACCGGCACTGCAAGATCACACTAAACATATAATACAAAAAAAAAAAAAAGAGAACCAACTCTGGGAAGGAGTTATACCTGGCAAAGTGCAGGAAGACCATATGGTCCCAAGGTCAGATGTCAGACACCTGCAAGGCATGTGCATTAACCCATGCGCTCATGTCCCCCGCCCAACGTCAATTTTTTTAAAAAAATCACACAGTATTTACACAATGCCAAATCTCGCCTCATCTGTTTTGGTTTTGGGACCACAGTCAACAGTGCTGGGGGCAGGAGTAAGAGGTATCTCTCCCAGAGCTCAGGGAAGCATGCAGTACCTGGAATCAAATCTTGGCTGAACCAGCTCTTTGAGCTGCCTTCCAGCCTCTCTGTGTTTGTGTCTAGGTGGTGCCAGGGACAGAACCCAGGTTCTCAAACTTGAAAGCAAGCACTTCACTAGTGAGCTATATCCCCAAATCCCAGGTCTTGCTTTATATGTAGTAAAAATAATTTCTTAAAAAATAAGGCAAAGTTGGGGCCAGAGTGATAGTACAGAGGGTAGGACGTCTTCCTTGCAAGTGGCCAACCTGGGTTCAATTCCAGGCATTTCATACGGTTCCTGAGCATGGTCAGGAGTAATTCCTGAGTACAGAGCCAGGAGTAACCCCTGAGCATTGCCGAAAAAGCAACAAATAAATAAATAAGATCAGAGGGCTGAAGAGATAATACAGAGGCTACACCACCTCCTAAATTGAGTAAATTTTGGTTTGTTCCTTGATACCTTGGCTAGGTATAACACATGCTTTGCATATATTACTTTGCAAACTCCCTCAGTTTGATTCCCAACAGCACCAAAAAAAAAAAAGTTTTAACATAGCAACAACATTAAGAAATGCACAAGAGGAATATTTAGTAAAACAAACAAACAACAACAACAACAACAGTAAGAAACTAATATCCAATGTCAGGGGAAACGGGCCAGGAAACTGGTCAATGGTTGGAAATTACCACTACCACAAGGGTGTGGGGGGTGGAGGGTAGTTAAGATAGAAGAGGTCCATATGACAACATTAGTTGATGACTCTGAACAGAAACTGAGTGTTGAAAGTAGGTAAAAGGATAAACATAACCTTTCAGCATCTGTATTGCAAACCATAATGCCAAAAATGAGAGAGAGAAAATGAGAGACAGAGAGACAGAGAGAGAGAGAGAGAGAGAGAAGAAAGGTGCCTGTCACAGAGGCAGGTGGGGGTTGGGGTGGTAGGAACCTGGGGACACTGGTGCTGGGAAATGACACTGGTGGAGGGAACTGGTGTTGGAACATTGTATGACAGAAACCCAATCATGAACAGCTTTATAATGCTCTATCTCATGTTGACTCAATAAAATAAAAAATTTAAAAAAGAAATGCACAAGGCAACATCCATTAAAGCCCCCCAACCATAGAAGCATTAAAAGGCAACAGAGTAGACCACAAAGAAAACTGAAGTAACGAACTGCAAGGCCCAATTGGAGAGAGGAAAAGAGGTTGGGTTTCTAAGGAAAGATTCCAGGAGGAAAGAGCAAAGGACAGTGGCTCTTTTGGTTCCATGATCATTTGTTTACATCCGATTCCTTTTACTGTTTCTCAAGCTCCTTGGAGCTAGGGAAACCCAGAATCCCCAAAGATTGAAGTATAATAGGGGATGATGACAATGATGGAACTCTAAAACTTCTGTCCAATTATCACAACTGCAGTGAAGAGATGAAATATAGCTCAAATTCAGTAGGACAAATTGTCACACTGAGGAGGTGAAAAATTCATTATGGTTAAGATCACTACCTGCAGCATAAGGTAAAAAAGTAAAGGTAAAGGCCCTCCCGTTGTTCATCGATTTGCTCGAGCGGGCCCAGTAACGTCTCCATTGGAGACTTTGTTGTTACTGTGTTTGGCATATCGAATACGTCACAGGGAGCTTGCCAGGCTCTGCCGACCTGCAGCATAGGCTATCTATGTTCCATATTTTTTAAAAATTAGAACTTCCCTTCTCCAGATTTCCATTTTCAATTTTTAAGATGTGGTATATTATTGAGGGTTTTTTCCCTTGGTTTTGGTTTTTTGTTTGAGGACCACACCCGGCAGTGCTCTGGGCTTACTCCTGGTTTTGCACTCGGGGATCACTTCCAATAGGTTTGGGGAACCGTATGTGGTGCCAGGGATCAAACCTGGTCAGCAATTGCCCTACCCGCTATACTATTGCTTGAGTTCCCCGGATTTTCATTTTCTTCCAAGAAAAATAAACGATCAGAGTTCATCACTACAATGGATATAATTCATTTGGCCAAAGAAGTTAGGGGACTGATTAACATCCCTGAGATGGCTGAGAGGAAGAAGGATTTAGGCTTCATGTCAAACAAAAAAATCTGCCCGACCACTTTTAGATATTTGTTCATAAGATCACAGATTGCTACAAATTTCTAAGCTGGCAATCCTCTCAATCAAACACCATAACTTCTTGAGGAAGAGAAAGCCAAAAGAAACAGTAACAAAGGCGACACTAAGATGAATCCCCACACTGAATCAACACAGTCCGGTTTA